AAAAAAGAAGAGCATGCTCTACCTTAAGTGCAACGCAGTGCAATGCATCAAATACATGTGTTAATGCACGCTAACGCTACCACTCGCAAGCTGTTACAGTGAAGTATATCCACTCAGCACATGTTACTTCACATATAGCTAGCTAGAAAAAGAAAAAAATGTGATGGAATGCAACGGATTGGAAGGAAATCGGAAGGTATGTCACAAGTCAATAGAACCTCCGTTGACCTGCAAGTACCTTCTGATTTTGGTGTGAATGCACCCTTAGTCTTTGGGGTGGAATGACACCCAGAATAATTTAACCTGGAATACTGAGGAAATACTGTGAGTGCAGGGCATCATCGACCCATCCCCTGTGGGTGCAACACTATTGCACCCTACACTCATGGTGCATCAGCACATCTCTCTGCATTATTGAAGACCGCCAACTGCCAGAGATGATCTAAAAAGTAAGAGGACCCTGTGGATCCCAGAATTAGGTTTTAAAGGATAACTTTTAGCACAGACCTTTAGATGTGCTTGCCTCCCACTTAGCATCTCTTTCAATTAACTCTTATGTTTTCCTGCCTGAACTCCACTCTCCCAGTGTGGCTATATTACATGTGTAAAAAAAAAAATGAATAACCTGATCAGTTTTTAAAAACGTAATTGTAAATTTGTATGGCGAAAGTAGCAAAACATGCTTTCTTTACCAATTCTTTTATTTTGTTCTTTCAGCACAAACAAGGCTTTCTCTTGGCAATATTGTCTTGAAAAATGATTTTATTTTATTTGTAATCTATAGACTTTGGCAAAACAGAACAACATTTGTTTTTTTCTAGTTTAACAAGTGTTAGTTTTAGAACAGAAAGTGTTTCTGTCGATAACCAGTGCAATGTGAAATTTTCTGCTGCGTGTAATGACACAAAAATGTTGTTTCTATTACAAAGTATGAGCAATATATTTGCTATATTACAAAGTATAGCAAATATATTTTCAATATGAAAAAAAGCCTTTTTTTTAAATGTTGCACTAAAAAAAATATGAAACCAAATAAATGAAAATTAGAGAAAACAGCAGCAAAATAATAGCCGAGGAGAAGGGAAATAATTAATTGTGGCTTATTAGGGTTACTAAGGGGTTAAATAGGAACACTGTTCGGTTTTCAAATGTCTTTTCATCTGCTGGAAATGAACCAGAGAAGTTACAATGAAGCAATAATAGTAATGCTTCATTTTAACTCTTCTTGACACTGCTGATGATGTGTGTTAGTTTACATTGAAGTAGAATGATCAGCTCCTATGTAAATAAAACAAGTTCCAGTTGCCAAAATGACAGCTGGGAACTGTGTGTAAATGTAGCAGGAGAGCTGTGAGGGGGAAAGGCTAGACATACTACACATGTATTAGGTGTATGTAGAACAACCAATGTCCATAACTGGTTTAGTGAACCAACTCATTGTCGGTATGAGTACTGCTACATTTGGCCTAGGTATCTAGGTTTTAACTTCAGTGGTTATGAAGGGGTTAAATGTACCATCATAACACCTGACACTTTCATACATATGCTCTTATCCTCATTGTCTAACGGTGCCATCAGAAGGCCTGATACTTTAATACATCTGCCCCCCTTTACTCCCTAAACTGCCCGAAAAGTTCTTTTAATGCATGTTCATATAAAATTCCCTCTTATCTTCTTCTAAACAACTCCATGATAGTCTGAAATTAAGCAGTGTTTTCTTTTCATATACAGTAGCTCAACCAAAGCACGTTCTTGTCTGATTAAGCTGGGCTTTCAGCATGCATATTTAGTCATTTAAAACAAAGCTTGAAATGCTTTTCACAAATGACTACATTTAAACTAATGCATCCCAGAGGCAGAAAGAGAATGATGTATTCACCACCAGCTCAGACACAGCAATCCCAATTACTCTCCCATTTCATAACGGCTTAATATGACCGAATCAAGCCGCCAGTAATATAGGGGCCATTCACCTAGAATGTGCAGTGCCATTTCATAAGGCTGAAATGACCTGTGGGAATTAATTACTCTGAGCAAGTAAACGCTTTAAAGCGTTCTGACTACATTGTGGTTGGTTGTGTGGTTTGAAAGCTTTTGATGGCTGGGATATGCAGAGCTGATCTCGTGAGCTTCTCACGCCTTTGTAAAATATACATGCGAAAAGCTAAAAACCTAGGATGAACTTGTGCCTAACTTCCAAAAGGTTGTTGCAGGGCACAGAGCATTGTTTATGTGAATATTTCTGATTTTTTTCTTTATTTATATTTAAAGCCAATACTTGTTTTCATTTTTTTTTTTTTTAGATATAATGGGGTTGATTTACTAAAGGCAAATATGTTGTTCACTCTGCAAGGGAATTTTCACTTAACTTAGTGAATGAGGAGAAGCTCTGCTGACTTCCATCATGCAATTATATGCAAGCAAATAGGTTTATTTTTTTTCCATGAATGTGATTGGGTATTCTTTGCCAAGTAAATTTCCACTAAATTCACTAAGCTAAGGACAATTTCCCTTGCAGGGGGAAAATTAGTTTGCAAAATAAACAGCTTATTTGCCTTTAGTAAATGAACCCCACTGTATTAGTGTTAGAAACTCTATCTGGGTTTTATTGCTCGCAGAAATGGATAGCTGGTGCTGGATCCCCAAATTATTCAACATTTCCACCTTTTCACATGGGGGTAGCATTGGCATATTGAGTCTAAAACCCTTTCTAAAATAAAAACCAATCGCGCCAGAGATGACCACTCCACTGAACAAATATACATGCAGAAGTTCTACAGGTCACTGCTCCATATCAGTCAGGGAGACTGTGATATCTAAGGAAAAAACAAAAGCAAGGGGTGCTTTCCCTAGTGTAGATACATTTTTATTAAGCAAATGGCAAAAATAGAATAATACTCACAAAAGAGTATATAACAATGAGCCTTCAAAATCAAATCAAATTTTAATTCTAAGTCTCAACAAAAAGCAAGACACAGCATGTGAGAGCGGCACAGATGATGGTTCCTGTGTGACAGCACAGTATGTCTAGGTTGACATGTTTCCAGGGCCACGCCCCCTTCCTCAGAACCAAACCTCTTCCTCCTTTCCATTGAATTAAGTAGAGTCTAACAGCCAATCAATAGAGCCTCTGGCTGACAGATAGATCGTGACTTTTTCATAAGCCCCCGCTATGCGAGGCGTGTCAAATTCGTAGGTCAACAAAGAACCTGACGGTCCTCTGATCGCCTTGCCCACTGTGACCCACAGAGCCCTCTGCCCAATCAAAGGAACAGAATAACGACATGTACGGGCTCTGTGTGTCTCGACAGTGTCCGCACGGTTATAAGATCAGTGCGAGTGCTGAGAGAGAAATTCAAGCTGCAAGGTATATGTGACAGGTGAGAACACAGATGCAGAGAAAGGAAGGAGGGGGAGCTTTTTAACACAGTTACCTCATTCACTAAGCTGAAGTGAAAATTCCTTTGCAAAGTGAACATTTCTGTGTAAAGTGCACATTCTGTAGAGGGACTTTTTCAAATCTGGAGCAGACAGAATAGTAGTTGACCATGGTGACCAACCAGATTCTCTCCAGTTCGTTCAGCTAAGCTTTGAAAATGAAAGATAGAAGCTGATAGGTTGCCGTGCACAGCTGCTCCATATTCCATCAGCTCCAGATTTGATAAATTCCCCTCTATGTGTTTAATGCAGAGAAAGGCAAAATACCCACAACCATAGGCTAACTTGCTGTAAGAGGGTATGAAAAAAAATCCTTCCTGATCCCATTATGGTGATCAGATAAATCCTCCAATCACATGTAACAATTCCCATAGGCCTGCTGACTGATCCAAAAGTTGATTAGAATTCCACACTCTCAGCAAATGCCATTTAACATTTTAACTGCTGTAACAATAAAGAACCCCTTTCTTAGTTAAAGGTTAAACCTATTTTCATCCAAGCTTAAACCGTGGCCAGGTTTCTTTTTCAGGAACCTTACCACAGTTTACAATATATAATCACCTTGGATATGCTTATGCATTGTGATGATATCATTATCACCTGCTCTCTAGAGTAAATAAATGTAATATTTGTAATTGTTCTTCATAATTGCGGTCCTCCAATCCCCTTATTAATTTTGTTGCTCTTCTCTCAAAATTTTCTATTTGAAGGACCTCCTTTCTGTGAATCCTTCCTTACCCAAGGCCCAACTTTAAAAAAAAAACTGGGAGCATGGCAGGGGTTTGTCCTCTGTTCACACACGAGCTATAAGGTGTCCATGTTTCTTATCTTAGAAAAATGGGAGTTATGGAAATCGGCACTGAAATCATCCTAACCCGGTTGTTATTTTAAGTAAATTACAGTTATGCAAAATGCAGCTCTCAATAGACTAAGGGCTTGTTCACACTAGCCCGCACTCTAAACTGAAATGCTAAGGTGGTGTGACAGATAGAGGCGGTGTGATGTGCTGTTTCACACGTTTAATATTTCTCTTCTTTTACTTTATTTAAAGTGTACACACCATTCAGTTTCCTACAAAGCAGTGTGGTGTGCTGCACTGTGGTGTTCTGAAAGAAATACACTGCACATTGTGGTGTAAAGGGGTAAATAGAAAACTGGCAATAATCAGTTGATGAAAAAAAACAGTAACCTCATTCCTAAAGGAAGAAGTACCGTCTGTCGGGAAATAGGATAACATCATATTCAAAGAACAGCATAGATACAGGTCACAAATAGGGAGATTTAAAAGAGCTGTACTCAATAATCTTGGTAATTTGCATATTAAGAGAGTCGTACAATAAGGTGGTTTTGGAAAGTGAGAGGAAAATAAAATCAGTATTGCTTTAAGAATCATTGTCTTGCCTTTTAATTTTATGCCACCCCTTTGCCCCCTTCGTGAGGTTTTGCCTGAGTAAGTAGGATTCATGCTAAACAATTCAGTCTGAAAATACTAGACACAGAAAGCTGACAATTTAGCTGTCTAAAATAGAATCTCACATTGTGAATATGTTTTTGTCATTTAGGAAACGAGAAGAAGCAATGAAGTCAAGTTTGTTAGCAGCAGCCAAGCAACTGAGCAACATGAATCCCAATTTTCAGCCAGCAATACAGAACAGGTATCATACAAATACTCATTAGCACATTGTGTATTTAGACTATTTGCAAGCCTGCATGTGAATACAACTATTTCAAATACTGAAAAAAAGTGTTTTATACTTAGCACACAACTCTCTGGAGCCATCACAGTGTGTCCGTTTATTTATTGACGGTGGGGATAATGCTATACTTTTAATGCCATCATTTACTTTACCTAGGTGTCGGTTCATGAGCAAAGCACCCATGAGACAAGCTCAGCATCTAATTATAATCAAGAAGCTGATGGAGGTGGTAAGAATCCTGCTTTAAATATATGCGTCACAGCCAAGTTAAATGCACTGGGGTAGCAAATTGAAGTCTTGTAAATTTCACGTGTACGTTTACTGATGAGAAAACATTTGAATCAATAATGACAGAAAGAAATGCTCTACTATGAGACCCAGAGGAATAAAATTATAATTTAACATGATGTTATGGGTATCAAATTTGAAGTGCACCTGTCTTTCTTAGAGCAAATAGTTTGATGAAAAGGAGGACAGATACGTGTCAGGGATTTTCTGCAAGGTGGAGGTCAAAGGATAGGTGTACTTAACCATTTCAGTACCATCATGTTACGTCCCCTTACTGTCCAGGCCATTTTTTCAGTTTTCAGTGCTTGGATAGTTTCACAATTACTCAGTCATCCAACACTGTACCCAACACTGTATCATTTTTTTTAGACAAATAGAGCTTTGTTTTAGTGGTATTTAATTACTGTTTTTATCTTTTACTATATAATAGTAACGAGGCAAAACATGTTGAAAAAAATGGTTTCCCTTACTTTCTGTTAAAATAAAAATGTCAGGAGAGTACAAAGAACCCCTCAAAACAACCCCTTTTTGTAAAGCAGATGCCCCAAAGAGATCTATTTTTTTACCACTTTTATTGCACTTTTAATACATGCTGGTATTGAGGGGTTTATCTGTGTGTTATTACAGTCTAATGATTGTAGGTAGCCAGCATACCTGCACTCCATTTATCCATAGCTATATATGCTCGAAGATGGAGGCTCTCATAGATTAGAGTAAGGTCCACACTACACAGAGGAGCCTTGATGAGGCAGTGTGGCTTCTATATATTTTGCAAAGGTTATGCTGGGAAATATGTGTATTTGTACTGTGAAAAGTCCTTCCATGTGCACCTTACTTTGAAATCTACTTATGAATTGATTTGTGTGGTTGCCATTTTTGTTTAGAAAAAAACCCACCAGGGATAAAATAGTAAATGTGGTATTGGAAGGCAGGTATAATGCCAGCACAAGTTTTACATCTTCCAAGGCTTTCTCTAGTGTCACAAGATACAGGCAGCGTACTTAACTCAAGAGGAAGATGGTGGGAAGGGAGCACTGTAAATAATGGCCAGCATGACACATATCCACCCCTATCTTCCTATCGACCTTTGTATTCTGGTGAAAAGTGCTGGAGAAATGTAAAGGCTGCCAGTCAGTGAAGAAAAAATGTTCATTCGACTGGGTTCTTGTAGGTAAATAGTTTGTTTCAGTTCTTTTACACTATCTTACTTTTTTCTGTGCTTTTACTCCCTTTCCACATGTTATTTTTTTCCTCTGACCTTTTATAATGAATCTTGCTGTAACACAAGTCATTATTAAGTGGACTGTAGGGAGCGCACATGTGGAGGAATGGATTCGTATAGGAGCTTTTGCAATGGAGATCTTTAGCAACCTTATGAAATGTGTTTTGAAGTATGTCCCCAGTGTCTAACAACTCCTATAGTAGCTTGTTTGAAGTATCTGACCATCTCCTGCAGCATGCCTGCAGTCTCTTACCATCTCTTGTTGACAGTTTTCTGTAATATTACATTCACTGAATATCATGCGCTGTCCTTTGGTGATATCAAAAAATGTGACCACCACTAGTTTAGAGTATCTAAATGTCAGGAGCAGATGTAGACAGTTTAGTCAGAGTGTATAGTGGCAAGTTGCTTCAACTCTAGCAGCCACCTTTCCCTTAAGGCTAGTGCCCCTACCAGTACTTAAACTATCTCTGGCCATAAATGTTGAAAGCGTTCCCCAGGAACAAAGGAGTAGTACTGACTGGTAATAAGATACAGATATAAACAGAAAGCAAGATACAATACAGAAACAGGATACAAGATACAAGATTCAAGACAGGTACAGGGTTAAAGACAGAGACAGAAAGATCAAGATAGGACTATGATACAAGATAAGTACAAGATTCAAGACATGCTATGGCAGGATACAGGCTTGTGCAGAAAGAACTAGATTGAACTATCACAAGCCCAAAGCCCTGGGCTTGTGATGCTTAAATAAAGCATCACTAACCAACTCCCAGGCTGAGAAGAGTGTGTAGCCAGACTGATTAGCCCACAGCTGACGGAAGGTATGTGGCCACAAGCAATCACCAGAGGGAGATGAGAGGTTTGCGACAGGCAAAGGAGTATTAGGCATGCTCCAGTGGCTGAACTATCGCCATAGCAACCCAGGCGGCCACTATGGGGCCCGCGGCACAGAAGGGCCCGGCTAGGATGAGGAACAAAGGGGGTTCCCCTGATGCCGTGCGGGCTGCCTGGGTCACTATGGCATCTCAGGCTGATGGCTGTCACTGGCGGCTGTGAGGAGGAACGTACCTCTATCCAGATCCCTGACTACCTGTGCAGCGGCGCATTCCTCCTCACAGCCACTGATGAGTCAGTGACAGCGGAGGAGGAGGCGGGACCCGATTGCGGTGGAGGAGCAGGAAGTGGCCAGGCCCAGTTGTGGGGGGAGGAGGCAGGGCCCGCTGGCAACTGTGGAGGAAGCAGGTGGAGAAGGCTGACAGCGGATCGGGGCTGATGTGCAGGGGTGTGACCAGCCTACCTGAGACCCTGCAGAGCCCACCATAGAGTCTTTGGTGGGCTCTGCAGGGTCACTTTCAGATAGGCTGTGTGGGATCTCAGGTGGGCTCTGCAAGGGGCGTAACTAGAGATCACAGGGCCAAATACAAAATTTTGCTATGGGGCCCTGTGATTTCTAGTTACGCCCCAGGCATGCTTCTAACACTAAAGCAATGAATGATTACTAAATTGTTATGAGTTGCTCCACTTTAACTGCCTTGCCTTTGCCATGCATTGTAATATTTGGTAATTAAGTTTTATGGTCTAATACATTGAAACAGTAAGTATTAAAGTGCATTTACTATAGCAGCCAATCGGACTCCATCTTGTAGTGTTCTGGTTGGTTACTCTGCATAAGTGCACTTCACACATCATTACTACCTTATGAACTAAGCTAGAACGTTCTGAAAGTAGCAAGCTGACAGACGTATGTGTAACATCATGTTTTGTTTAAAAGTGTTGTACTAATTTTATTGTATATTTAAGTCAGGTCAAATGTTTATTCTCTTAGGTTGCCAAGAACTTCCAAAGGTTTCTGCTCAAGTTCTTAAGGAGCAGTTTGAGAAATCTCTTAAGGAAAAAAGTACTAGCTTTGGCGGAAGTGTCACCTCACAAGGGAAATATACAAAGGTACATTTTTAGTAGAACATTATTAAATATGTCATAGAAGAAAGCAAAACAAACTGTTGATAGCTTAAAATAATACAAAAGACCACTTAAATATGTTTTTTTTGTGAAGATATATCATCTTCAGTTAAAGTATGTGTTCAAGCTTAATTCCCTGAAGGTTAGAATTGTTATCTTTGTTATTTCCTCAGCTTTAAGCTTGTCTTTTCTCATTTTACAAATTATGATTCTTTCGACTGATTCTATTTCCTCTATACATGCTCATGATTTTCTCAGGGATAAACACATTACTAGTATTACAAAAAAATACACAAAAGCTATGTATTCGCTTGGTTGTATTTCAAAAAAACAATCCAATATAAACATACCATTAATTTATATTTCTAAATATTCAGACTATTGCAGAAAATATTAAAGGAACAATGAATATTTTTTACTATCAAAAACAAAGCTATTTAAAGCACTTTCAATATTAGAACTCTATATATTCTATATACATTTCTGTGTCTGAGGGGAGATATTTTCTGCACACAGCTGACTTCATATTATTAACTCTCCTGAAAAAAGTAAAAAAGTCAGCCTCCCATTACTGTAAATGCATGAAACGGCAGAATGCTGTCAAATTCTAATTTTATGATCTCTCAAAACTGAAACCATTTTGCAATTTTCATATACATCATTGCACTCTGTAGCTCTTTTCCTAAAATTGGCAAAATGTTTTAAACATAATTATTTAATGGCAATATCTAAAATAAATATATATATATATATATATATATATATATATATATATATTTTATAGAATTCGCCACAATGTTTTGCAGCAAAACATAATTTGAGCATAGAAAAGGTAAATTAAAGCTGTCTTTTGTCCCCTGAAGATCTATAATGACCATCCGGAATTTGAGTGGCCAGTGGTAAATGCCAACACCTCTAGCTCAACAAGCAATGTCCATGACTCAGTGAGTTCAGCACTGAAAACAGGACGGTCTTCAAAGTCTTCTAGCAATAAATCTGTTCATTTCAGAAGTTTGGAAGAGTTCCCGCCTCCTCCACCCCCAAATATTTTGGAGACTACCGATATAGCAGATTTTTCCCAGTCCCCAGAACCCCCCAGCCCTCCTGAAAGACCCCTGTCACCTACTACAACCAAAGATGCGTACTCGAAACAAAGGAACTTATATGAGTTGAAACGTTTATATAAGCACATTCATCCAGAAGTGAGAAAGAACTTACAAAAAGAATATGTCACTGAAGTTTCTGATATTGTAAGCAGCCAGTCTGAACAAAAAGGTGATGTGCAACAAGCAAGATATGTGTTTGAAAACTCATCAGGAAGCCCACAGAAATGCCTTAGCCCAGAAAGAGAGTATTTAGAATGGGATGAGATTTTAAAAGGAGAAGTGCAGTCAATGCGGTGGGTCTTTGAAAATCAACCTTTAGATTGCATTAAGGATGAGTCACCTGAACAAAGCCATATCAAAAGTATTGGAGAACAAGAAATTATTGCTGGTGGAGATGTCAAGTATACAACTTGGATGTTTGAAACACAACCAATTCATGCCCTTGGTATGGGTAACTCCAATTCTTCAGAAAATGCTGATAAGGTTCCAGATTTGGCGAGAGGAGATGTCCGAACAGCTACATGGTTATTTGAAACTCAGCCATTAGATGCACTCAATAAACTTTACAAGGAAAATGATTCAGATATCCTAAAGGCTTCCGAAGACATTCAAGGAGGAGATGTAAAAACAGGTAGATACCTATTTGAAACTCAGTATCAAGATGGAAGTCTTTCCTATGTTGATGAAATGAACATGCTGACACTTAGATCAGAGCTCCAAGAAATTAAAGGAGATGTTAAAAGAACGGTAAAAAAGTTTGAGACTGAACCTAAGTATGTATTAAAAGATCATTCTGGGAAAGTCCTTGAGATAAAAGCAGTCTGTAGAGAAGACATTGAAAAGGGAGATGTAAAAACAGCCCGCTGGATGTTTGAAACTCAGCCTTTGGATATGATTAATCAAGATGAACTTGACATAAAAGTTGTCAGAGGCATATCTATAGAAGAAAGTATAAAAGGGGGAGTGGGAAAGGCAAAATGGCTATTTGAGACACAGCCTCTTGATTCTATTAAAGAAGAAGAGGACACAGTTACTCAAAAAGAAGCTATAATTGGTGCAGATGTGTACCAGAAATGTTGGATTTTCGAAACCCTTCCAATGGATATGTTGAAAGACAAAGCCAATGAAAGACCACTTGAGGGGCAAGAGATAATAGGTGGAAATGTGAGCAACGCAAAACATTTATTTGAAACAGTGCCAATGGATGAACTTAAAGAAGATATTGAGGTAGGAAAGCTTAAAAAAGTGGTTACCAATGAGGAGGAAAGAGGAGATGTTCGCCATCAAAGATGGGTTTTCGAAACAAGACCACTTGAACAAATAAGGGAGGAGAAGAAAGAATATATTCAAACAGTCAGGCTTGATGAAATCCACAAAGGAGATGTAAGTGCCTGCAGAAGTGCATTTGAAAGTCAAAACTGGCAAACTGATGACTCTTCCTATAAGATTCAAATTGAAGATGTTAATAAGGGAGCTGTAAAGCTCAACAAAAATCTTTTTGAAACAACACCCTTATATGCTATCAAAGATCGATTTGGGCATTATCATGAGGTCAAGACTATCCGCCAAGAAGAAGTTGTGAGGGGTGATGTAAGAACTTACCAATGGATGTTTGAAACAATACCAATTGACCAGTTTGGAGAAAGCGTTGAGAACTACCAAGTTATTAGGGGAATATCTTCTAAAGAAATACAGTCTGGAGATGTCAAAACAGGAAAATGGCTTTTTGAAACCCAGCCACTGGATTCAATAAAATACCTTAGCAATGCAGAAGAAGAAGAAACTATAAAAGAAGGCAAAACTGACATGGTTAAAGGTGATGTGAAGATGTGTAAATGGCTTTTTGAAAACCAGCCGATGGAAGATCTCTATGACAAACAGATACAAATGACAAACATTGAAGAAATTCAAAAAGGAGATGTTAAAACCTGTACTTGGCTTTATGAAACTCAGCCACTTGACACAATACAAGATGAAACAGATAAGTCAACAAAGTTGCAAAGGGAGAAAATTGAAGGAAGGGATGTGCAAACTGTTTGCTTCCTTTTTGAGACTCAGAATTTAGAGCATATCCAAGGAGAAGAGAAAAAAGACTTCAAGAGAGTAGTTGAAATTGATGTTCAGTCTGGTGATGTCTCAAGTATGAAATACATTTTTGAAAACCAGCCTCTGGATAAACTTAGTTCTAGTTCAGAGGTGTTACAAAAAATAAAAAGCATGAAATCTGAAGACCTTCAAAAAGGAAATGTCCTAAATTGCAGGTGGCTTTTTGAAAATCGTTCTATCGATGAGATCAGTGAAAACCAAGAGAAAAACAAAGCCGCTTGTGCCATCACCGATGTGCAAGCTGGAAATGTAAGAAAAGGATGTTTTATTTTTGAAACTTTTTCACTTGATCAGATAAAGGATGAAAGTTCTGAAGATACAATGACAAAAACAGTTGGTGTGGAGGAAATATTAAAAGGCGATGTAAAAAATTATACACTGATGTTTGAAACACAGCCCCTGTATGCTATTCAAGATAAAGAAGGCTATTACCATGAAGTAACAACAGTGAAGAAAGAAGAGGTGTCTCATGGTAATGTTCGTGGAACAAGGTGGCTGTTTGAGACTAAACCATTAGATTCGTTTGATGATTCTAATAATGTATTTATTATAAAGGCTGTTACCCAAGAGGATATTCAGAAAGGAGAGGTTAATGCTGTGCGGTGGCGGTTTGAAACCCAACCATTAGACAAAATTTCTGATTATACCAAATCAGATATACGTACTATTACAACTATCGAAGGTGGAGATGTGAAAAGCAGTAGGGAACTCTTTGAAACGGAAAATAACACCCAGGCTGTAAGAACAGTAAGCATCAGTGAGATTAAACAAGGCAATGTTAAAACCTCTACTTGGTTATTTGAAAGTCATACACTTGATGAACTTCATGAAGAAGGTTATGAAGATATGAAAACAGTGACAGTGGAAGACATACAAAAAGGGGATGTTCAAGAAGCTGTCTGGCTTTTTGAAAACCAGAGTTTAGACTCAATCCGTGTAAAGGATGAAAGTGTTCAAGAGATATTGAAGGAAGAAATTCCACAAGCTGATGTTAGGACCACAACCTGGCTCTTTGAAACAACACCTTTTCATGAGTTTAATGAGCAGAAGACAGAAAAAGAGGATATTATTGGAAAGAGCATTCATGAAACATTAAAAGAACTATATAGCCACAAGCTTTTGAAATCTCAAGGGATTATTTTAGAAGCTGATGAAATTGGTGATGTCCGCATGGCCAAATACCAGCTCATGAACCAACAAAGTCCAGAAATTGAAAAGGAAGAAGTTATAAGAGGTAATCTTCAGAATATAATGATAAACTTATTGTCCCAAAACTCTTCTACTGAAAGAAGGATTCATTTAAATGATGAAGAAAAGGGAAATGTCTCCTTGACAAGATCACAGTTACTGAGCAGATCCACCGATGTACAAGCAAACAGGGAAGACATTATTGGGGGAGATGTACAAGCAGCTATCAAGAGCCTTCTCTTCCATAAAGACCTTGGAAAGCAAGGAATACTAATTCAAGAAAGTGATAAAGGGGATATAAAAATGACTGTGTACTCTCTTCTTAACAAGAATGACAAAGGTGATTATGAGCGTGATGAAGTGGTAGGCGGAGATGTAAAACGTGCAATTTATAATTTAAAGTCCTCTGCCATGACAAGTGAGAGACTGGAGAAATTTAAAATTGATGACTTGGAAAGAGGCAATGTACAGTTTTTTACTACTTGCATTGAATCTGGAGCATTAGATTATCTAAAACGACTACAAGGTGTCTCCGATGACATTGCTTCTGAACAAATGGAGGAAATTATGGGAGGTGATGTCGAGGCTACCAAATTGTTGCTAAAAAAGCAGCAGTACCAAATTGACCGAACAGTTGATGAAATGGATATCATCCCTGGGGATGTATATAATACGGTTAAGGTTTTTACGACTGAGCCAGTAAATAAATCTTTTGATGTAAATAAAGAAGAAGTCATACGGGGAGACTTGAAAGCAACCCTAAATTCACTTAACCAAGCCATCAGTCAGTCTGTGGTTGTAGAGAAAGAAGAAGTTATTAAAGCTGATCTTCCTGCAACACTTAAGTCCCTTACAGATTCAGTTCACCAAGTGAAAGATACGGAAAAGCCAGATGTCGTCCCTGGTGACATTCAGAGAACCATTGATTCTCTGGAAAAAGCAGTAAGCCTTAAAACCGAGTTTGTTAAAGAAGATGTGATTCATGGCAACCTTGAGGCAACATTAAAATCTTTAAAAGAAGCACAGCAGTCAGTAAACAAAATAGAGAAAGAAAATGTAATTAAAGGAGATATCAGTGCAACCATGCAAACCCTAATTGACTCAACTGCTGAAAAGAGACATGTCCAGCATCAAGTCAGTGTTCAAGGTGATGTAAAAAGTGCCGTGACGACATTGCTGCAGCCTCCACCCCAGACAACTCAACGAAGAGCAAGTTCTGAAGGAAATGTTAAAGATACAATCAAGACGTTTTTGCAGTCTGCTGAAAATGCTCTAGTCTCAAGCAAACGAGAAGTTTCAGTTGGAAAACTGATTGATATAGAATTTGACACCAAGCAGATATCAACTGAAATTGATCATAAGGATGAGCAAAATATTAATAGTTTTAAACAAGAGGCTATTGAAACATCAACAAAAACTGATCACAAGAGTGAAAAAGATATTAAAACTCTCCAAAAAAAAGCTATTGAAACTTCCAACGTGTTAGCTGATAGCAGACAAATTAATGGAACTTCTGAACAAAAATTGGATAAGAAAGTTACAGTGTCTAGGGTTGATAAAGAGCAAAAGTCTATAGCCAGCAAGTCTTTGAAAAAACAGAACACATTCTCCAATGCTCAAACTGCAGTACTAATATCTGAAGAGAAAACATATTTGGGTCAAGGATCTAGCAAGGGACAGATAGAAAAAATGTCAACAGATCTAATCAATCAAAACAAAGTAATGCAAAAAGCAAACCTGTCATCCAATATCAATACTTCCAAATCCAACGCTATCAATATGATTAATAGAAGCAGCTACCAAACATCGGAACATGTTCACAAACAAGTAACAAATCAACAGCACTCAAAAAGGATTGCTTTGGAAAATGTTATGGATACTCGGCAAGCACAAGATTTAGATTCCATCAATAACAATGTAGAACTTGTAGAAAATGCATTATTGTTTGAAGGTGGTATTGCATTACCAAGACAAACTGAAAGGGACCATCATATGTGCGTAAGCAGAAAATCCACCCAGGAGAACAGTGAAACAAGTAAATCTGTTATAACTAAAAGTCTCATAAACAGTCATAATCTTAATGCAAAAGTTGTAAAACAAAGAGAAAAACCCGAGATTTTCTTTCCTCCTCCTCCCCCTTTGCCACATACTCCTATATTAGAGCCTCCTTTGGCACCTACACCACCACCACCTCCACCACCCCCACCTCCATTGCCAGCCCATTTGTTATTTAGAGGAACCAATGAGCCAGAGTATTTTCCTTCACCGCCACCTCCTGTAGTGGATAAAATGGAGAATGACTTGCTACCACCTCCCTCTGAAACATCCCCTTCTATGATGCAATACAAAGGACATAAAGAATTAGTTAGTAAGAAAGTAAGTTATATACCTACTCATGAACAGTCAGTCAGAAGCAAAACAGAGTCAAATACTTATTCTAAGAGATATTCTGCAAAACAATCAGAGGTAGCACAGCACCATACTGAAAAACAACAGGCAACAAACTATGTGGAGAAAAAACCACCTGAAGTGCTACCAAAGTCAAAACTACCTGTCTTTCAGTCTAAAACAGGGGTCACAGCATCTTCACACATTAGTGAAAGTCAACGTTTAAGCAAGCAGTCTACAGTTTTGGCACAAGAACAAAGAGCGTGTATAACCCAATCATATTCTGAGCACTCTGAACAAACAGCAAGTCACCATGAGTTTGAATCATTCAGTAAAGGGGCATTAAGTGCCAAGAAAGATGTATTATCTTCACCAAGTATATCTCCAGCAATGAGAACTGATAACCCAACTATTCATTCTAAAATAGAAGCCAATACATTTACCCAAAAAACGTTAGTTCATAAACAAAGTCTAAACTCCTCTCAGCCAAGTGTACAAGATTATGACCAACTAACATGTGATCAAGAATTAGAAAGAATTCATGAAGAATCCTTAAAACCAAAGAAAAACATTTTGTTTTCACCAAGAATATCTCCAGCACAAGTCAGTAAATCACAGTCTTCTAAACGTAACACTGTTAATCAAGCTAATGAAACTAAAGTTTCTGTATCATCAGAAACAACTTCAGCACAGTCACAAAATGTTACCATGGCTCAGTTGAGTGAACATGACTTGGATCAACTAGCATGTGACCGTGAGATGGAAATAATTCATGAACAAGCAATAAAACCCAAAAGAAAGGTGTTCTTTCCTCCTAGAATGTCTCCAGCTATTCAAGCTGAAACTCCTACCCCAAAATCTAAAACCTACATTAGGAAATTTAAGACTCCACTAATGATTGCTGAAGAAAAATACCGCCAACAAAGGGAAGAAATGGAGAAAAACAGGACTGTATCTCAAATTAGTACAGCAACAGGTAGTGAAACTCCTATGAAACAGGTCACAGCAGAGTCAGAAACAGTCACATTTATAGCAGAGGATCAACCTAAAAATATAGAGATACCAGTTAAAGATCTAATTAATACACAAAGCCAAGTAAATGCAAGAGGTGAGTCATACAACATAAATCATCACAATTCTGCCCAGTTAATGTCTGCTTCTTCATCATCATCAGTCAACACGAATGTTCCAAAAGTGCAAACATTCACCACAGAAACACAAATGAAGCAACTGCAGCATTCAAAGGTTGTTATGGAATCCACAACAGAACAGACAACCAATCAACAAACTAAGGACAAGTTTGAAAAATCAAAACAAATTAATCAGATGCATATAGCCAAACCACTTTATCCTCAACCTGACAATGACCGAGCTCCTGAAAGTCTAGAAACTTCAAAGTCTGAAATAACTGCTAAAATGGTAAATGCAACAGGCAATAAGAAACACTTTGACAGTGCATCTATTGTGATGAAACAAAAATTCAATGAGCATGATCAAACTATTCATGATACAGACAGTCATCTAATACAAGAATTAAATACCCAATTAATTTCTCAAACTTTAGAGCAGAAGAAGGTACAGAGCTCTAGTAATGTGCAAGCTGTGTCTAATGTAAATGTAACAAAAAAACAGCAAAGCAATGAAGCTGTCATTAGCAGCAAAGTAGCCAAACACATAGAATCACCAAAATTCCAAAGAAAGTTACAGATTAAAAAAGAGCAGGTTAAAAATGATACTGTAGTCAACCAGAATGTTGCTAGTGTTAATGCACATTCAGAAAAATCAAAAATAGTCCAGCAATCTCAAATTCATCATCAACAAGCATCACTTCCACCACCACTTCCAAAAGAAGTACAGAAACAACATGTTTCCATTTCCACTGTCCAAAATGTTGCTGCAGGAAAACAGTTTAAAGAAACAAAAGAAGTAACTGAAAGCCATAAAAAACACATATCTTCAGAATCACAGAACAAGGAGCAAGAGAAATCTTCAAATGTAATAGAATATCTCAGAAAATGTGAAGAGTTGCAAAAGACATTGTCCAATGCCAAGAAATTTGAAACACAACCACAAACATTGAATATAAACACTTTTAAAACATTTCTAAACATTGTTCCTTCCTGGTTAATTAGTGCCGAAAAAAAGGAAGATATGGCACACCAAGCCGCTTCCACCAATATGGAAGGAATTACTGAACAAGTGTCCTACATTAAGAAGCATGCCACAGACATGCATTCAACTTTTGAAAGCAATATCCAAGCAGCTATAAGATCTTCCACATTTGCAAAAAGTACAAATGAAATCTTTCCCCCAAGTGGAGTATCGCAGAAGGAAGTTAGCACATTTTCCAAAAAAACTGACGTGGCAAGTAGGCAAAGAAAGATCAGCAATGAGTTCAGTAGGCTGCCAACTGATATGAAGCAGTCCGATATCAGAGCTTGTTCCCCTTTGCTGAGGATGCGACCGCCATCACCTACTTACATAACTATAGAATCTACTGTAAGACGTACTGAGTCCCCACAAAAAGACAGAGTTCCATGTCCTCCTGCTCCCCTGAAAGAACCAGTCAATGTGCCATTACCCCCAAAACGTACAGCAGCAGCCAAAACAACTCCATCTCCTTCTCCAATTCCCCAAAAGAATCGGACAGAGCAGCTTGCCAAACTCAAAGACACCACTGCAAAGTTATCTCAAGGAACAACAACACAACATCGGGCAGTCACTCCTATTCCAGTAGTGGTAGAAAAAAGATGTGAGATAGTACATTCTCCCTCCACTTTACGAAGGCAGCTTAAAATAGAGAGTCATACTACAGGCTCTGTAAGAACTACACCTGTCCCTTCAGGTGAAGTGACAGTCAGCACAGTGGAGGACCGTACAGAAATTTACGAGGAAGCAAGAATATCTGAAACGCATCAAGCACTCTCTCAAACTGATCCAAAACACATTCCAAAGTGGCTGGGCCCAGACTTGGATAGTTTGGATGTAGTATCCATCTCACAGAAAACTAAGATCCCTGCAGAACACACATTTGAAACGAAAGCTAAAAATGTTTACATGAGAGATGAAACAAATAAGAAATCAAATACAGATGGTTCAAGAGAAGTGCAAACAGCAGGCCAAACGGAAAGTGTAAATTCTCGTTTCAGAACACAAACTGGACAAAAAAAGACACTGCAAAAGGAAACCCAAAAATCAGCTGCTGATGTTCCTTCAACAGTGAAATCTAGGACAGTTCCAATAAAACAGATTAAAGACCACAGGGAGAACACATCCAAGCATATGTTTGCAAGCAGTCAAGAAGAGAACAGTGAACATTTATTTAAACCAGCGATGCATTCTGAGACAATATCCCAAGTTTCTGGTGTTGACAAGATGGAAAGCAGGGTGACAAGGTCAAGGGCTCCATGGAACCCTGAAGCTGTAAAGCCAGGCTTTGAATTCAAACATGCTCCTCCGACATATGAAGATGTCATATCAGGTCATATGCTCGACATTTCCTCCGCTGAATCTCCAGAGGAAATATTAAAGAATTTTCAAAAAACCTGGGAAGAAAGTGAAAGGGTATTTAAGAGTCTCGGCTATACCGTCTCAGATACTTCTGAAATGACAAGCAGCTATCGTCAGGAAGAATATATTACTGGTAAATTGGCATGACCAGTTTGAGGCACCATTAACAAACTAAACGTTACAGACTGTGCCTGTCATTTTGCAGTTTGGTTGAAAATCAATTTGTGGTTCAAAACTAACAGTTTTATACCTGCTAGTATAGCTACTACTGCTTCTTTCTCTGTTTTTTCCTAAAGGCCTCTTCTTTACTGACTTGTTGTGTGTGTTTGTGACTAACATTGACTGCTGAAAGTAGAATGGATTTGAATCTTGAGGTAAAATCAACTTTATCATTTGCATATGTTTGCATACTAATTGCACCCATAGCGCGCATGTATTGCAATTTATTTAATAACTGCATCCAAAATTGCAAAATACCAGACAAGTAGTAATTGATGTTTCTGAGAAGCTGTTATGCAGGTAAAGAAATAATGCTGTTTCACAAGAAACTGTGAAAGAAGAACACTGTGGAAGGCAGGACAGCCAGGACAGTTTTTTAAATTGCTGCATAATCTTAGGGAAGGTGGTCCACTGCTAAGGGTTAAAGTGGGTCTTGCAGGCACCCTCCATGTAAAAACTGTAAGAAGGCATATCTAAAAAAAAAGAAAGAGAAAGAATAAGAAATAGACTACAGCTTCCAGTCCTGTCACCTAGCACCAGTGACATTACTCATCCTCAGCCTGGTATGGTGGGAAAGCTGAGGATTCCAAACCTCAGACACTCATATATAATGTTGGAGAACGAGATCCATTATATCTTCATTGGTGACCCAAGAATCCAGTTTTTATCCACATAGTATACAACAAAGCCCACCAGTGGCAGGATTTACTGAAAAGTCATCTTATAGCTTGTTTCAATATCAATTAGACTTCTTTGTTAAATCTTAAATAGTTTACATGACGCAATATTAATAACCAAAAAAAGTTTTTAGCAAATATATAAGCACCCTGTGAATTGTGAACCACCGGTAGCAAGCAACCTTTCACTGCTTGTATGTGACTGCTGTGTGCAGTCTCTGTCTAGTGTACCAATAATGTGTGTCCCCTCCAAACCCTTTGGTCACCGATAAGAGCTTTATGATTTAGAATATACTATGGAACTCCACAGCCTCACTAAATACAATCAGTGCAATATAATTATCCAGTCAAATGCAGCACAGACTGTAGCATCATTACACTGCCTGAAGAGCAGCTGCAAAATGAGGCTACATTATTTCATGATGTTACTGTAACTGCCACATATATATTCTCCAACAACATTGTCTGACCTTCTTTTAATTATCTTAAATTCTTAGTGATTTTTTTTTAAAAGATGTCTTGCTGCATAAAATGTGCATTAACATGATCTAGATTCGGTTGTGCACACTTTCCTGTGATAGGCAATAGAGCAGCAGATGTTGGTTAAATCATAAAAAAGGAATAAATTACCTAAATAAATAGATGTATAAAGACAGGACATCATAACTTTGAAGGTGCAGTTGTGGTTAAGCTTCTGAATATAATAGATAGTCAGGGCAGCGTTTTCAAGTGTTCTTGTTCAAGTTAAATTTAAGTAACAATAAGTTGACTCTAAGCAGGTAAATGTGGTCACTGGCAGTTGAAAAATGCAAACTTTAGATTAACATTGTATTCTCCTAAGTTGCCCATTAACGGCACAGCCCAATACACCATGGACAGATATGCTATTTATATGACAGGAAGAAGATGAAAATATAATTTTTTTCCAAAATTGTTTATTTGGCATGACAGCCTTGCTACATGTAGAACAGCCTTTACAGAAGCACACAGAACTTCCTAAAGGGCCTAAAGCTTGTTGCCACTGTCAGATAGGATTGTATATACTAAAAGCTATCCAGCCCTGTAAGTAAGAGCACCACAAAGCAACAATGAACTGATAATGACATTTCAGTACACTACACTACATCTTTCAACCAAACTCTACATGACTTAATTTGTGATTTTGAAAAGTCAGTGTATAGAAAAAGTTGTAGTAAAAAATAGCTCTTGCGGGTTTAACCGAATATTTGTTGCATTTTAATTTTTCACAGTTCACATAACTCTGAGCTAAATGGTGTTTTTCATCTCAGAAAGTTGGAATGTATGAAAGTTCACTCAAATACTTTCAGCTAGTATTTCCAATCCAGCAGGATTTATCAATAGTATCAAAAAGGCTGCCGGACAGGGCAGTGATATCATTGTATGTGTCACCACCCTCCTGCATAACAAATGGGGAGTGCCCAGAACAGTTTAGGTTCAGGCATAAAACAAAAGAAAAATGAAGGGGTGTAGTTTTTCATGTTACGTTCGGCTACAGGACCTGGTATTGAGAGGAAGGAACAGGAGGTCAACAGATGGTATAGAAGATATTGTTGATATGTAGCTGTTGTATCCCTTATGAACTTGAACACTGTGTGGACAACGATTTCCAGATCACAAACCTTAAAGGGAACAGTGATCCCAATCCATAGAATAAGGCTCACTCTGTCTTCTACAAATGCTGGAAAATAATTAATAGAGGTTCCCAATGATGGTCCACATACAGCTCTAGTTGATAGCACTAATCTAAAGTAATTTTCTTGGTTGCGTTTAATGCATGTTAAATATAATACAAACATATATAGCTTTTGCAGTTTGAAGGTTTAACCAGAAATATAAATGTATGTTTTATGCTGTTGTATACAAGGGGGATAGAAATTAATATGCTGCTGTGTTCTCTCTTTAGAAAACACTTCTGCAGGAAAAGGAAACGTGCATCGTCTGTCAAAAGAAGGTTTACCCAATGGAATGCCTAGTGGCAGACAAGCAGATCTTTCATAAGAACTGCTTCGGCTGTAACCACTGTGGGAGTAAATTAAGGTGAGCTGTCTCAACGAAAATACATAAAACAATTAAAGTTGAACTCCAGGCAAATAGATAAATAAACAGTATATATAAGGGAGCTGTTTTACCTGCCAAAGGATTTGTATTTATGTCCATCCAATATTAAGATTTATACAGCTGTGCCACACCGCACAGCCCTGTCTGGTGGCTGCTTCTGATGAACAGGAACTACAAGAAGCTGATATGAAGTCAGATTGAGTTACTAAAACTGCTTGAATTCAAGAAAAATACAATTAAGGATGATTAAAGAGCTGCATTCATTTGTTTCTTTCGCATCCGACCAGAGTTCTGCTATAAGGTTTAAGCAGAGACATCATTTTAATTTTTTATAAGATTTGGATAGAGTATTGAAGAATTAGAACACCCTCTGCTTGTCCCCTAAATCAGTGGTAAGCACAGTAAAGCCTTCTAAAAAATGGCTTAAAGGAATGATTTTCATGGTTCCACCCATTGTCCTGAAATGAGGAATAATTCTTATTTTTGGGAATTGTGATGGAATACGTTATTAAAAGCTAAAGAAAAATTGGTTATGCACACACTTTAAAGATAAAATATAGACCTTAAGTCCCTTACATACTAATGTAAAATTCTCCTGAAAAGGTTACTTTTATGTCTGTTGGAAAAAATGAAAACCTTCAGCTTTCACCTCTAGGGCTCAGCCACATATGCAACTGTTTTCTATCTTGATTTATAAAACACTGGAATTTCAAACAGTATCATTATTCCTATATACCATTTGCAATCTATTGCCAGGGACCTTAAGACTGATCACAGGAACAGTAGCACAGCAAAAAGCTCATTAGTAGCCAAGTCCTTGACCTTTCTGCAGATGCACAGCTTTAGGCTCCTGCAAACTATATAATTGTGTAGAGTAAAAAATGTGCTGTTACATAACAAAAGAGATGGGTGGGAGTTTATTTTAGAAGTAAAATGGGTGTGTGTGACTTCATATCATAATTGTGACACATCCATTAGGACCTTTTAAACATTTCTGTTCATTTTCTTCTTTTTCTACAGTTTAGGAAATTATGCTTCTCTCCATGGAAACATATACTGCAAACCCCACTTTAAACAACTCTTCAAGTCAAAAGGAAATTATGATGAAGGCTTCGGATACAAACCACACAAAGAGCTATGGAATCCAAAAACTCAAGCTACAGCTGTGGCACCTCGAGTTGAAAGACAAGATAAAAGTAAAGCATTATTGAAAGAGTCAAGTACAGCAGGTAATCCACAAAGCTTGCCTGCTTATGAAGTGCTCAACAATTTAGATGATTCAGCCCTTCAAACATCTGGTGAAATTGGCAAGCTAAACATAACATGGCCTCCATCGGCAGACAGTTCCAGGCAGAATTCCACTGGTGAGAAAGTTATTGTTAACAAACCAAAATGGCCACCAGAAGAAGGCATGAAGCATGTGGACGTGGTAAGGCCTCCCCCAGAGGGAGGAGAACAAGGCAAGTCAGAAAGTGAAAAACCATCTAATATTTGTAATGAAATGTTGGAAAGTAAGGAAGGTCTTAGACAGGCAAGGGATAACAAGGTTTCACAGATTGGCTCAGATGGGGTTCAACAACTTAAAAATGAGTTAACCAAAAGAGTGAGTTCTAGAATGAATGCAGAAAGTTTTGAAAATAAAGATCTGAACGGTGAGTTGAAAGTTACTAAAATTGATGGAAATGAGGATGATGACTATACAAATCCCAACAGTAATAACAACAACAATAAGAACAGCTGCAATATAAATTGTGTTATGTATACAGAATACTATGAAAACCTTGTAACAAAATCCAATCAGAACGATGAACAAACCTCGTTCAAATCAGACAATCAGCTTGGAATCTCAGAGCTTCATGTTGTTTGGGGTGACAATGGCCATCTTTCCGATAATTTTTCTATGAAGATCCAGCAGTGTAAGAGAGGCTCACCAGATAATAATTCTCTCATGCCTGAAGAATTATTTGTCTTGGATCCTCTAACAAATAGGATTCTGGATTTGGAGAAAAGTGAAGCTACAATATCACATCAGTGTAATACATTTCAGAAGAAAGAATTGACAGAAGCAATTGTTCTGCATGGCTTGTCAACACGGCCTCTCGCTCTTGAGGAGCATAATGCATGTGTTTTGCCAGGGCTCACTATAAATGAGCCATCTGTAAGAGGTAGAGAGCCATCTCTGCAAGGTACTTTCAGCTCAGGTTTGAAGATGTACAAGAGTGAAAGACGATGATAGAGAGCAGCAAGACACAGTATTACATCCTTACAATTGATGTTGGCTTTCACAGAGAAAGTAGAAACTCTTTCACCAGTATTCTATTAAAAACATAACTTTGAGAGTGTTACTGAGAAGAAGAAAATCTAGAAAGTATATTTCCAAAGAGGACCTGGCACTTTTTAACATACAACAAGAGTACACAGTGCCTCGGATGCTGTGCATTTATAGAAAAGAGTATGTCTATTTGTGCCCACCTGGAGGAGAGTTTAGAAACACTTATTTCTGTGATTTATTATCTTTATTTTTTATAGTGCCAACATGTTATGCAACACTGCAGTACATAGAACAGATCCATCCAAGCCCCTGAGCAAACTCATGCACACATTAGAACTATTATGTTTTTGAGTTGTGGGAGAAAACAAGATCATACTAACCCAGACAAATGCAGCAACACCAAATTACATTTATTCAACTGCTGTTCTTGGTGGATATTCATTAAGGGTTCAAGCATTGGAGACTAGAAAGTTAACCACTATATCACTGTGCTGCCTCATACACAGAAAAGCTGAACACTGTCCTTTAAACATTGCACACAAGTGTTATGTCTGTAACAAGCAGATAGGGGCACAGAGAAACACTCTTTTTCAAAAATGCATAGCATACTGTGCAATGCTTACTCCTGCTGTTTCTTGTGACTTGACAAGTCCTCTTTAAATTACTTCTGTACAGATTTGTGCATAGATATTATTCAGTGTTTATGACACTTTGCATTATAGTCCACTAATACAGGTTGCAACCACAAAACACTATGAGAACCATGGCTGTTGTAAACATGAGCCTCTTGGTGTTACTTAAAGTTGAACTCAAAGCAAACAGCTGAATATACAGTTTAAATGCATATAATCAAACCACTTTAACCTGTCCTAAGATTTTTTTTAATTCTGTTAAGCCAGTCACAATGTCCACACAGCACATCCAAGTCAGTGACCTCGCTTTTTTCCACTGCAGTTAGGCAACACAGCTTAAGCAAGGCCCAACTATTTCCCAGCTCATTGGACAACTAAGAAGCAGCAGCACACTGATGAAGCCAGGGGGTTTAGGAGGCTAATATAAAGCCATTATTTGGGTACTTAAACTAAATGAATACATCATCTATGAATCTGACCCATAATAAAATATGTGATGTATATTCATCAGTGTGGTCTGTAAATAATAAAGTGTCCTCCTACCAGCCTACACTATAGTATTTACGGAAAGCTCTGAAGAATATACATCTCATTCATTATTATGGGTCAGATTTATAGATGATGTATTGATGTGATGGAATGAATCTGAGAACAAATGTAACACATTTGTGGCCTATCTTAATGCAAATTATATAGGTATGGTCTTTACTAGTGAGATCCATTAAGTATCTATAAACTTCTTAAAACAAATAAAAAAGATGGAAAAAGAAAAATGCATACAGCGATTTACAGGAAATCAACATTCACAAATAGCTTGCTACACTGGGATAGCCTCATCATGTAAAATTCTCGCATGAGAGAGATACCGACTGGTCAATTCATAAGTACAAAGAAAAACTGTTCAACAATAGAAGAATTTGAAAAGGAAAGCCAATATTTAAGAGCAAATTTCTTGGAGAAAGGTCATCCAAAGAAGTGTACTAGAGATGGCATACAAAAAGTACAAAACAAAAAATTGAAATCTCTTTTGAGATTGGAAAACACAAGATCAGTAGAGGATGATAAAACACAGTTATAGGCATATATTCAAGATAATTGGGAAAAGGGTACTTAAACTAGTTGTAATAAAAATTACATATATTTTTTTTTTAATTCATGACTAGACTATGATGCTTTTATATATGCTTGGAGTCCAGCATGAAGGCCCCTATTTACACCAAAGCCATGCTAACCTCAAGTGTCTGTTAAATTAGCTTTAGCTCTGATAAAGAAGCTTCCATATTTAGTTTTACCTAATGGGGACATGACAGAATGTATTTAACACTGGTATATTTAGCATCCTATTCCAAAATGAAAATGTTATATCCAGTATTAAAAATAATTAATCAGCAGTCTGCAGTTAGTTTCCACAGAGAGAACAATGATGAGATATTGTATACCATGAATTAAAAGGACTGTCTCACTAACTTCAAAGCAACCCAAACGCAGAGTTAAAGAAGAGAACACACCAAGCTGTCACTTTAACCATTTTTGTAACCCTAAAGACACACCATAACATATGCTGGCCCTTGCAAAGCTCCTCTTACATATCCTTATACAATGTTCTAAGGTCTTGAGTTGTTGATGTCTTTCCATTGAGGCCAGCTGTACTGTCACTAAATTTATCTGTATCATACTTCAGAAATATGCACAAATTACGCAGTGCCAGAAGGGTGGGAATAAAAAGTAAATGTACAATAAACTGCAATATACCACATGAGAAAACAATAGTTGTGAAAAGCCCCTACCAAAATAAGCTAAAACCTATTCTATTGATAAATTATATTTTGATTATTTTGTATTTATTTCACAGTGAATGGTGGAATAAGATTTTAAAGCAAACTCATATTGGAATAAGAACCCTTGCCATGACCATCCTGCTTAATAAAAAGCTTTACTGAAGTGCAGTTCCCTAAGCCTCTTTGCCTTGAATCATGTGACCAGGTGGCATTTATTGTATGACTAGTAATTATGGACATCCAGTTTATGTATTAAAGAAAGTATTGCAAGGATTTTTTCTTTTAATAAAAAAGATGGTTAAGAAGGAAGGGAGAGTTTAGAAAAGGGATGCTATGTATGCCATGATGCCCAAACAGGACTCTTCTTCCAACCTTATAGTGAACTATGGTGGAATATATCACAATATATATCTATGGGCTGCTACAGAAGAGCTGTTGTGTTTTTTTATTCCTAAGAAAGCCGTATTAGGTATGAACTTCTTTAACTGTTACGGGCAAGATTAGTGAGACAGTCTTTCTTAATATATAAAATAAAGTTGTTATATTTTATTGTTTCTAATATAAGCCTATAAGCACCTGGCGTGCCTAAAATAGAACGGTAACAGAATGTGTATTTCATATAAAACATAATATGTACATTGGTTTTGTGAGAATGATTTTAAAGAGTTTTTTTTTCTCATTTTTGTTTTTATACATAATCAGTTCTATGTAAGAAAGACAGGATTTCAGAGACAGAAAGGACATTTGTTGACTACTATAATGTTTTTACTGTAACACCTTTGTTACTTGTAGTTGATCTCACATAGACAGCTCTTGTAAAATGTTATGTATAAACGTTTTGAAAGTACTTCTTCGCATAAGGAAAAAAACTATTAAATGATAGGAAATGTAAACTGAATAAAAGTAAATGCACTTTAAATAACAGTGGGTCAGGAACCTACACACAAACCACTTGGAAGATGATGAGTTTAGAGCTTGATAAATTACATTTATTTTTGCTGGTAAACTAGGTACTTATGCTAAATGTCAGGTGTGCAGTACTTTTATCCAGACAATGGCTCTAGTCAGTGGAAATATATATTTAGCCAGTGGAATGTGGCACAATACAGATTAGATGCACTTATAGAAAAATGTAGAAAATACATTTTAAGTGCGTTTACAGTTTGCAAAATTAACTAGATGAAACTTTGGCTCATATTAGTGATAAAATAAATTTCCTTCATTCCCTCCCCTTTCTCAAATGTTGAAATAAAGTCATTTTAAGTCCAATCATGAGTTATCACAGAGCACTTGCCCACTTAAGTTTCTAACTTGAGAGTGCAAATGAGGGACATTTTAAAATATTGGTCTGGCCATAATTTGCATTGGTAAAATTTTAGTTGGTCTTCTCTCTTACCATAAAAAGTGAAACAAATAGCTAATTTT